CAATGTTCCTTGCCTCTGATATTGGATGCTGTGCAGCTGAAAATATTTTTGCCTTTATTTCTTCCTTTTTAGTAATTTGTTAAGATTGCATAACCTTAGTAAACAATTTTTTTTCTTTTTAAAGAGCAGCTCATTACTACCTCTAAAGCTGAAATATGACTTTGAGTACAGTACCAGCTAGGAAGGGAGGAAAAGATAGAGCAGGAAATTCAACCCATCTTTTCCATCAGTCATTATGTGAGATATTTAGGACAAAAGTCAGAGAACTTCAAGCCCTAGTAAGGACCAAGAAGATAGACAATGCAGCATCATATGTTTTACTGAAACATGGCTGCAGGATCATATTCCTGACTCAAATGTGTCTCTACCAGGGTTCCTGATCATATGAGGACAGAGAAATTTAAAGAAGGCCAGAAAACTTTAGTGAGATGGGTTGGAAGTGCTTGTGAACAACAGATGTTGTCATCAAGGATATATAACTGCAAAGATTAGCTCCATGTTATTTGCTCAGTTTACCAGTGCTCCGTTATTAACTGTTTACATTGCACCTTCTACTGTTGCCAACACTGCATTTGAAGTCATCAATACTGTTGTTGCTGAAGTACAGGCACAGCAGCCAGTTTGTGGCAATAACTGTTAATCATGCCTCAATCTCTGCTACACCACCCACATTCCAACAGTTTGAAAGCTACTATACTAGAGAAAACTAAATATTACTCTTGTTTTGTGCAAATGTAACATAGGCATACATTTTTAAAGTAAGATATCCTCGTTGGAAACAGGATCACTTTCTTGTTTTTCTATACGCAGAGTATAGAAAAGTACTGTATACGTTCCCAGAAAGAGAAACAGAACTACAGTGGTGTAGTGGGTAGTGTTGTTGCCTTGCACCAAGAAAGTTCTAAGTTAAATTCCTTTCCCATAAATGCAGGAAGTTTGCATGGCTTCTCTAAATTGTCCTTAGGTGCGATTACGTGTAGAAGCAGGTTGTGTCTCTCTGTGTTGCCATGGGGACCTGTCCAAGGTGTACTTTGCTCTGCTCATAGACCACCAGAGATAGGTGTTGCCTCCCACTGCGACCTTTATAGAATTAGTGGGAGAAGATGGATGGAGTTGACAAATACTCCCAAGTCAAGATGTTTGAGGTTTAAAGACTCCTTTTTAACCTTTTTTATGTGCAATACAATTATTGAGGATTAATGTTCCAGTTATAATCCACCTAAAATAAAGTGAGCTTGTTTATTTTTTAGCAATGTCTGCAGGATTGTCAATGAAATGGGCCACCATATGGTTTTACACAGCGATCCCCGGTGGAAACGTCCTTGACAGTTTCACAGAATTTCTACTGACTCTGTTTCTGAAAAACCACCAGGATACCAGAACACCAGTGAAATAATTCAGGTCTCTGTGGAAGTGAGGGAAGTGAAGGCAGTAAACAAGCGTTAGTCATGGGGCTGAGGATGTGATCACTACCAGCACACAAGAGTGGATAGATCAAGAATTCAATGGCAATTTATTCTTAGAAACAGGAAGCATGTAATACAGCTCATAAGTTGCTGTTGTGATAGATAAACAAGAAAAACAAATTAGCCTAGGTCCTTCAAAACCCTAAATCTGTACTTTTATGTTTCCTCTCCATTATAAAAGAAGTATGTGCCATCAAACATTATGGGATACTAAACCATCTGTCATGCAGATGCAAGAGGAGACAAGCAAAAACATTTAAGTGTTCCAGACAAAATAAAAATGGGAGAGATGGTTTCGTGTTAACAGTGATGATACTCCTAGTGCTTTCCGAGAATAACAGAAACAAGAGTCCTATGTGGATTTAGGTTAGATGTACGGTACAAAAGCCATAAATATCTCTTTTAATGGTAACAGAAACAGCACATGTGCTTTTCATCAGCCTGCTTTCCAACACTTGAAAGAGAAACGTTGCATGCCAAGAGCTGTACCAGCCTCTATACAGCTTGAATTTGACAAATGATGCCATGAAAGAATAGATATAGGACTTTTCCTTTGGGATTTCCTAACTGTACCTGTTTGCATGCACATGCCTTCTGGACGCGGAGCAGACAGTAACCCACCCTGCTTTGTCTGGAAACAATATTCATTACAGTGAGAAGTATTTTCTTAGGTCGGACAAGGAAATTCCGCCCTCAATTAAATATGTGGGAAAGGGAACGCAATCAAATATGATTTGACTTGTTCTGGGTGAGGAAAACAGTGATGAAAAAAAGAGCCTGCAATGAAGGAAAACATGTATCTGTTTTTAAATCTGCCAGACTTTATTTACCTTATTTGTAGAAACAAGCTCTGTTGGTTGTGAAAATACCAAAATCTAAATAAATTTGCTTCAAGACCCCAGTTTGACTCAACCAACTGATTTTGATTGAATGTAGCAATATAATTTTTGTATTCTGAGACCAAAGGTAATATAAAATACATAGTATTTTTGCATGAAGGACGTGGAGAGTAAAAATAAAACAACCAATTAAAGCTTATGAAATAAAGATAACTCTTACACCCTTGCTTTTTATGTAATGTGCAGGCTATAGCACCTATAAACATATCAATAAAAAGTTCTATAAGGCCAAATATTAGCTAAAGTGAATATTCACTTTCAGCACACCAACAAAAATTTATTTTAAGGAGAGAGGCTTTTGGGTTATACTAGGGCTGTGTCCTAATGTCCGCACTAATTACTATAAAGGGCACTATATGGTGGTAACGCCATTTTAGATGACTGTCTGAATGTCTAGTGGATGAAAAAGTAGCAGACTTAAAATCTCCATCAATACACCTTAAAAAGTAGTGATCATCCATGGTGACTAGATGAGCAGCTATATCCCAGATATAGATCATGGAATTTGTTGTCACAGCAGTGCCCTGTCGCCATACCCAACGGCGGCGACAAAAAAAGAAAGATGGTGCAGGCCCCCTGCAGGGAGGGGGGGGTCGCGTGACCAACGGGGAGCAAAAAGTAGTGACCATCTGTCTGAAGGTTAAGTTAACTGAGTTTACTATAAAAACAGGTATCTAGCAGGTATATAGGGTCTATATAGTGATTGAGGGATTTAGGGGTTAGGGTGGACGTTCTGACACAGCCTAAGTGTTCAGACGGGAAAGCAAAAAGGACTAGCAAAGGCCAATGTATGCAAAACACGAAAGATGATAAACTAAGCTCTCCAGTGCAGCGTTTTTGTTTTTTCAGAAAATGCCTTACACTGAAAATAGAGCCTTGAAAACACATTTATTAACTTGAAATCAACATAAAAGCCCCACTTGACAGAAACACTAGCAAGACAGTCTACTGTACTTATGGTAGTAGACTTACATGCAATCTCAAGTTCCATAACTTCATTTTTGCTAAAAAAAGAAAAGTTTTTGGTTAAAAATAAGACAGTAGCAAGTTCAGTTCATCCAATTTTGACTAGTTTGGCTTAAAATCAGCACTTTAAACTGACATCAATCAGCTTTGTATTCTATTTAGAATGCTAAGCTAATGAAGAAATGCTAATCCTTAATTTTTACCATTTCACCATAATATGCTATCTTGTGGCTTTGTTAGCTTAATACAGCACATTGTCTTTCATGATATGTTTGCCATTAGCGATGAAACACTTTTACACAGTGTGTTTGTGAGCTAAGAAGATAGTTTTAGGCAGAAGTAAAACCAATAAAGCTCTTTATCACTATTCTGGTTCATATAAATGTGGCACAAAGAAAAAATATTTAAAGGGTAATTTTACATATGTTTTAATTGTACTCTGTTTTCAATTGTCCAAAACTGATTCTAACAGTTAGCTAATTGGGCTAATATTTAGCATGTTTAGTTATTTCCGTCAATTGAAGTTATTCTAGGTTTAGTATTTTGAATAATTTCAAGTGTGTAGTAAATTGTTTTCAAAGGTGTTGCTTCTGATTTAGGAAATTACTGCATTAACACAAAGTAGTGCCAGAATAACCCACAATAAAGCATTGAGTAAACAATGCCCAGTACATATTACTGAACTCATAAAACAAAACTAATGTTTTACTCCAGCAGAATCAAGTAATTTCTGTTCAGAGTTTATGTCTTTTCATTTTTAAAGAGCCCAAACATTTTTGGGGGGAAGAAATGCCAGTTTGATACAGAGAAAATGACCATAAGACACTGACAATAAGTTTGGTTTAATTTTGTTTTCAAACAGCCCAAAGTCATTCCATACAGAGTTAAACATATTTTAGCAAATATGTCACAATTGTTACCCGTATAATCACTGGTATGATACAGGTTTTCACAGGTCAAAGCCTTTTTACAAACTTTTTTTTTTCTTAAGAGCGATCAGATGGCTATCAAATACTATCAAATCTGTTAGCTCTAATATAAACCTTATAAATTTTCCACTGTGCAGTGATATTGTATTCCACTGCTTATAGCTATTAATTCTTTGTTAAGAGTAAAATGCAATTCTCTAGTTATTCAGAGAGGACATTACTAATCACTGGAAATATCATTACATACTGGTAAATACCAAGTCTAGGACGTCTTTGGAAATGTGACACACTATTTTCAAGACCAACACCGGGTATTACTTCCCTATATCTGTCCTCACGCAAAGTATCTCTCACAACAGAATCCCACTTACGTATGCACATCAGCGCATCTCTTATCATTTCTGCAGAATGTCTACATCTACTTTTTTATTCCAGCCAACACATGCTGCAAGTGGAGCTCTCCAAGCAGGAAGAGCAGCCAGGCAAACACTGATAGCGAGCTCATTTTACAAGCATTTGCATTATTGAATGTAAAAAGAGGGGGATATATAGTACTAAATGTTTGATAAAGAACACAAAACAATACTTTGTAGTTGGAGGAAGGCAGATTTTATGTGCAAGGCTGTCCTTTATTTAAAATAGGAACTTTTGTGCCTAAAAACAGGGTATAAAACCCAAAGGACGTCATTTATGGCTGACACCTTGGATTTAAAATTACTTGATTGACAACTCAAGCACCTTATTCAAGACTTTGGAATTCTGACTTGCAAAACCTTTTAGCTGGTCCAACTTCAGATTCAATATGGCTTCTCTATGGACAAATATTTACATGATTTGCTGGAATAAACTTTTTATTGGCACTTCTAACTGTATTTCGTAAAACAGTACTCTCCCCATTTTTTAACATGAATTGTTATATTTTTAACCATGTAAAATGCAAAGAAATACATTGAGATTAGCTTTCATTGCTAGATTTAGCATCCCCAGTTTCGACTACCAATGCTACTTTAATTAAGTCTGCACATCTTTAACTGTGGTCTCCATCCAGCTTCTGCTTTATGGACCGTATAGAAAACAAGAATACAGATTTGAATCGAGGAAAAACTACTAAAATAGCCAATCTAGCATATAAAATTATTTTCTTGGAATAGCAAACAGAATACTAAAATACTGGTGGGATCCGTCTCTATATTATTCACAAAAACAGCATTATCTGCAAGAATGTGTTTCAATACACTGTACAAATACATACTACAGGCTTCAATATACGGCATGCATGTTTACATATATACTCACCTCCCGCTCCGGTCATTTATCCAGCATTTTAGATCCAAATGGAAACAAAATATAGTAGATCAAATGGATAAAATACAAACAGTGAGCCTAACCCAATGCGATAAAGCTTGTGCTTGTACCTAAACAGAATTTAGCTGAACTACAGCTTCAGTTCATCTTTGTACATGCAATGAAAAACACAGCTATTAATACAGAAAAAAGAAAGACTAACATGAGGAAACATATTTTAACACAATTTAATCTCTTCATTGTTTGAAAAATGTTCCTATTTTAGGACAGTTCACTTATATTAGTTACACATAATCACTGTTTTTGCCCTGATGTTGCTGATTCATGCACCCTTATTTGCAAATTTGCAATCTCTAATACAATTTGATCAAGTCTGATAAAATACGTAAAATAGATATTCCAAACACTTTACTTTATTTCCCTTCCCTTTATAATCATTTCACTACTTTGATCTTAAAACAACCTGATAGTGTTCATTTCATCACAACTTCCTGTACACCATGTTCTTGTGAAGTCATACGAGTTTGTGGATTGCTGCTGTGCATCACTTTGATGAAGTAAGCCAGAGCATGGTTGACTTTGACGATGCTGTTTCTCGTGGTTTTCACATGATGAAAAAATGAGTAGATTCCTTCTGGTGATGTCATTTTCTGTGTTCCTCATGTCTGACAGTTCAGTCTTCCAGACAGTTCCGAAAATGTCAACCTTAACCGGTCCAGAAGTCAAAGAAACCTCCTTCCTTCGGAGAGTTTCTTTAAACATACGGGCTTTCCGATCTGAATATGTCCGAGCAACTCTTGCCGTTTATGTGGTCTGTGTGGCTTTCGATGCTGTAGCAGCGGTGGACTTCAGTGAGTGACGACGCCACATAATAGGCTGAGCGGTTGGCAAAAGTGCCTGCAGATTGCATCCGCAGTAGATTCCACTGTCTCCGGAGAACAGTCTGAACCTAGAACACGGAAAAACATATCATGTTAAATGTTTCTCTTTTTTTTTGTGACTCAACCTCCAGTTTCAAAATTATGTTAGTATAATTTTCTCACAAATGTATACTAATTTATGAACATTTTTTTGATAAAAATATACTGCTCAAACATATGGAGTAGCTCCACTAGTTTGAATCGGATGAGTTTAATGTTGTTTTGCATTGTATATTTTTCATTTTTTCTTTGTTTAATCACCTATAAATCAGAAATGGTGAGATTTAAAATAGTGGTTCTGCCTGAAAAATATTCCTCAATTCCTTTTTGTCATACAAATACAAACAATTCTATTTCCAAGTATTGTTGGTAGCTGTACTTTTTTGTACTGCTTTAATTCAAATATGTAATTTCAGGCGATATTTGTGCCTAAGAACCTCAGGGCTTAAGAGGCTAAGTGCTTTGCATGGGACCCAGGTTCAAATGCTGTTTAAAAAAGGAAGGGCAACCAATGTAAAACCTGCCAAGTCTGATTATCAATTCTCAATGCATTTCTCTGGCAGTTCCTAAATAAGGAAACACACAAGGTAAGTTGAGATAAAAGAAAGATGGCACAGAACAATATGAGAGATATATGCTCTCATAATATCAAAGATCTATGTTCAGGGATTAAGACTATCACAGGCTTCAAATAGAAAGAAAATGAGGCAAATGCAAATCTAGACAGCCAATGAACTGACAACATGAACAACCCCAGCATCCTACTCTGTTTACTGCCAAAAGTCAAACAGACAACATTCCCTCGTTTGATCCAAAGCTTCCCTATCATGCTTCAAATGTTTAATCTGGCACCTTTGACATGGATCCTTCTGATTCTGTTTGTTTCCAATCAAATCAAAATGTAGTTCTGCTCAGCTATATCTGTCTCTAGAAAACATGTGAAGAGGCAAATAGAGATGTTGACTTGGAATAAGGCTCCAGTTCCAGATGCTGTCAGCCCCAGAGGCCTCAAGGCCTATGCAGAGCAGCGCTTTGGGATTCTACAGCCCATTTTCAACCTTAGCCAGACCCAGGAGTTGGTTCAACAGTTGTCACAGACATTGTTCCTTGTTCTAATAAAACTCACCCAACATTTCCCAATGACTAGACCTGTTGCTCTGACATGCCACATCATGAAGAGCTATTCCCATCGACCCACCAGAACAAATTAACGAGTAAATATAACGACCTCCTGCAGTTTAGTTATCGATGTAGAGTTAAGGGCTGGATCAAAGTCTCCCTGACAAAAAAGGCCACATTTTGTGAGACTAAAGGTTCAAGTGTCTAACCAGATAGTCAGCACTACAGGAGTACCACAGGGGACAGTATACCTCTGATTCTTTTTTATACTGTACACCTCTGACTTCC